TACAGAAAGCGAGTGTATGTGAGAGTGAATGCGAAACAAAGTCATGTCTACCCTATTAGCGATTGAGTGAACCCCCGAATACTACTATTCCTCTACACAGAGACCCTCATTAGAGATGTGGAGAGAGAGAGAGAGAGAGAGACGACTGGCCGTCGGTTGACGTGACATAAAAGCCAGTGTTTGTCACGTTCTCAACGCCTTTCATTAATTGGTTTGTGATATATGTGTGAATCGTTAGACAGCAAGAGAGCCACTCAACAGCACCGGCGAAGAAAGTTAGCCCATTGTTAGCCCATTCACTACCGCTAACAATACAATCCATTCAATCAATTCATATATTATTTTCATTATATAAATCTCACACTCACTGCCAATACTAACCATTACTGCACTCTTAAAACACCATTATATCAATTAATTGTATTCATAGTTAATATTAAACTCGTTATCAATTCTATAGGAATCAGANAACAATTATAATCTGTAAGTATTTATCCGATTATTTACTTTCCAATTATATAATAGCGGCAATACTTGTTAATCATCGCTAACTGCAATTGTGGTTACTTATGTAATTACTGAGTGTCTCTCCTCTGTCACCAAAACTGGTGATGAGTATATTGGTTAAGGCTATCATAAAAACTAAACCAACGATTGTATGGTTTAATACTTTTGTCCATTTGGCCTGTGTTTCGGTCTGTTCTGACACTTTCCTTATGCCCATCACAAACAACAGGATTCCGACCACAATCTATACATACGATTCCACCATTTGATTAAAATATATACAGCAAATGCAACAGTATATAAAAAATATTACAAAAATTAAACTAAATTTACATACTTGTAATATAAGCGATAGCAATAGCAAAGTCATAAGGAGAGTATAATATCGGACGCTATCTTTGCCGGTCTCGATGACAAACTTCAAGTGCTCGACATCGGCCACAAATAAGGCCACGTCTAGGAATCCACCGGCGATTGTCATCCGTTGACTCACAACAGCATTGGAATCAATAGTAGCGACGATTCCGATTCCGCTGTCGATCTGTTCTTCTCTATCCATTTGTTGCATCTTATGGTTCGTGTCCTCTATTATTGAATTTGAACTCATATTTTGATATTCACTTTAAATACAATTTCAAAACAAATTTTATAAACATTTAATTGTATTGAAATTATGTGACTAATGTTTTATCAAATAAAATATAATGTAGTAAATAATATTCTCTATATCTTATCACTTGTATTAAAAAAGGTTAGACCGTTAGATAACAATATATTTTATGCAATACTCTATACATGTATATAATATAAAATGTATTAAAATGACAATAATTATCACTCATTTAACAAATATTTTATATTTGTTTTGATTTGCAATAAATTTTGATAAATTATAACATATTATTTGTCTTAAAATGATGTAACCGTTAAATAAATAGATATGATATAACTTGTCACAAGTTATATGAAAATACGTAAAATTTTTGTTTAATCTATTAAATTTTTATAAATAATTGTGTTATCAAAATAATCAAAAAATTTAAAAGTTTTGTAGTTTAAAACTATTATCAAATGAAAGGCAATTTATCGGTTATTAATATTTTAAACTCAATATAATTTAAGTATTTAATTAATTATAACTTATTTTACATTTATTTTCCCTGTAATAGCAGACTATAAATTCGTAATTATATAATATTAATTTAGTATATCTTTTCCAACAAAACATAATTTAATTATAAAATAATGAATAATAAAATACTAAAAATAAGTAAAGCATAACAATATAATTAATTTCTAAGCGTTACAACAATGGGTTGTGTTGTTTAAAAAGTTGGCGATTCTTTAGTGAAATTGTTGAGTCGTTGAGCCGTTTTAGAGGACAAGAGATGAAGACAGGAGTGGAAGACATCAATCCTTTCAAAAGTAAATTGAAAAAAAGTGCAGAGATTTTGGTTTTGGAGAAATTTCCCAAAAAGATCCTCGAATTGGAAGAACTCAACAAAAATGAGAAATTTAGGCGAGATTTTGATGTTTCAAAGGATGGCATCACTATTCCTGAGTCTCTAGATATGAGCGGCTCATCAAATGGTCAGTCGGTGTCAATCGATGGACACAATTGGCATTTGGAGAGCACTTCCACTCGAGTCCATGTGAATGGCATTAACGCCAAGAATGAGAGCGTTTGTGACGCGAGCTCTTCCTCTCGATTGGTTGTCGTCGCGAGTAATCGGTATTTACGAGAAATGACTGCTTTATTGAGACCCCAAATGTGGGAATTGATTGAAGACTCGTTGGCAGTGAGTGTTGGCATTAATCTAATGATACCTCAGATCGAAGACGGAAACAATTTCGGGGTTGAAATACAACAGGAAGTGATCGACACAATCATTGGCATCGAAAACGACGCTAACAAACGGTTGCGTGAGATCTGCTTGTATTTCGCCTCCAGAGGCGATCTGATCGCAAAAGTGGTGAAATACCCGCACAATGAGGACTATCTCAGGGCCGTCACAGAGAGAGACCAAGCATTTCACAAATTCATTTGCGAGTCATTGCTCTTCGTTCGCAACAATTACTTGAATTTACACAATTTGATTGTCAAGAATCTCAACAAAATCAAAAAACCAAAGTCCGGCTCAAGTAATGAAATGCTTTATTAGTCAATGAGTTATCAATTCAATCGTACTTTTGTTCAATCCATTGGTTTTGTAATCCAATTATTGATGAATATTAAATGATAAATATTAACAAAACAGATCTCCCTATTGTTGTATTAATTATTATAGATTTAAAATAAGCTATGAGTTATTATTAGACTAAAAATATTAACGATATTATTAATAATATGAGTGAATAGAAATTAATTTTATTATTTTATATTAAATAGTAAGGATATTAACATTTTGCAAACAGGAAAACAATTATTATAACAACCATATATAGTGTGCTTACAATTGTTAGTATTACAACGTAACTAGCATGATCTTATATTTATATAAAGTATCTCTATCATTTATATAATTTAGCTAGCACAATTTAATAATTTGACTTTATAATAAATTGTTAACATCAGTATACAGTATATTACTAACTTTAATGTTAGCTTAAAAGTGAACTTTGTAAATAAAATAAAATAAATTATTTAATTTTAAATTATTTTATGCAAATGGTGGAATTGATAAATTAAAATAAAGATTTGTTTGCTTAAAATGTGAATATAATACATACATATGTATTTAACATGTTATATTATAAATTAAGTATAACTATAAAAATAAATATTTAATGTTTTACAAATGATAATCTTTTGTGTGAACATTGAATTAAAGAACCAAATTCTGATTCCTATAGAATTGATAACGAGTTTAATATTAACTATGAATACAATTAATTGATATAATGGTGTTTTAAGAGTGCAGTAATGGTTAGTATTGGCAGTGAGTGTGAGATTTATATAATGAAAA